TATTGTTATGTAATATTGTTATATTATATTGTCATCTTATATTGTTATTTTATATTGTCATCTTATATTGTAATTTTATATTGTAATCTTATATTGTTATGTAATATTGTTATATTATATTGTCATCTTATATTGTTATTTTATATTGTCATCTTATATTGTTATGTTTTATTGTTATATTATACTGTCATCTTATATTGTTATATTATATTGTCATCTTATATTGTTATTTTGTATTGTAATCTTATATTGTTATGTTATATTGTTATGTAATATTGTTATATTATATTGTCATCTTATATTGTTATTTTATATTGTCATCTTATATTGTTATGTTTTATTGTTATATTATACTGTCATCTTATATTGTTATGTTATATTGTTATATTATATTGTCATCTTATATTGTTATCATATATTAATATTTCATATATTAAATTGTTTGATCTAAGTTGTACATATAAAAGAAGACAGTTTAACATGTTGCTGTTTGTTTTTTCTCTTCAGTTCACGACAATGGAAGCAAATCCTTCACGGTTAGCTGGATATCTCTAGTTTCAACATATTTTGTAATTATATTTTTGTTTTAACTTCTGACAAAAGAATAAATGTCAGCAGTATACAAGTTGACTATGTATTATTGATGTTGCCATACCTGTTTTTGTGATTGTGATCATCTGTCATCTTCTTCTGGTAAGCATCTTATATTGAAAGCCGAAGGATAGGATCCAGTTTTCAGATTGTGTCAAATTTGTGCTGATGAACCGAACAGATGAAGCTTCGTGTCTTTTTTCATTAATACAACGCCAATAATGTATATGTAAATTTATTTAGTAGTGTTGTAGATGCATGCTTAAATTCAAATTCCCTAAGTTATTATCTTCGTAAGAACGTTTCACAAAATATTTCTATTCTAATCTTGGAAACGCTATTGAAAAGTAGAACGATGGCTAAAAAATAGCCGATCAACAACTATCTACAAGAGAAGATAAACGGAGTATGATGCAATCATTAAAGTATGTAAAATGTTTTTCCTCATTTTAATTACTATTATTATTTGCAATTCAATGAGTTCTAGAAAATCAGGCATCCATGATAGCAAAAGGCAAACAAAATATGTGAAGGTGAGAAGATATATTTTGATGCTTTTTTCTAAATCGAAGTTAAACGTTTGTCTCGTGGCTTTAGGATCAGTATGAAAGGACCCGACATTTTGAGGGTATAGGCCAAGAAATCTTTAACATCGAGACTGAGTTTGGAACCTGTAATACAATTGACAAGCGACGTTTGTCCTGTGTCACGAAGTTCTTCGGTGTCTTTCACCTAACGTGTCGTTGTAAATTAAGATTCTGCTATAAAGGACAATAAATTTGTACTCAGTAAAGTGATTTTCTAACAATCTGGTCAGAGATAGATTGATAACGATTAAGAAAATTTTAAATTCACTCAGAAGTATTTATGTTGAGATATCTGATCGTGTATAAATAATTGAATTTGTTTAACGAAGTTGTAGTAAGAAGTAAATTGATATTTTCAACATATTAAATGATTTGGTTAAATAGAAACTATAGATATGTAATTCTCCTTAGTGTGAAGTTTTTTGTTTTTTGTGTATAGCATGTTATTTATCATATTCAGTGTTATAGGTTCAATATGTTTAATTCTAAAACTTTTGCTTTTAATATTAAATGTATTTAGAAATAGTACTAATTGTTTAGTTATTTTGTTTTAAACCAATTTACGCATTTAACGACTTATTTAATTTAGAAAATTTTGTTTTGGAATTCATTTTAATATAATATATATTGTATATTATTTTATTAGATACAGTTATTGTCATATCATTACGATAGTGGTATCAAAATATCATAGAAAACTGGGTATTTAAAAATCGTATTACTCGGCAAACTTGCTAGAAAACTGAGTGTTTAAAAAATCGTATTACTCGGCAAACTTGATAAAAACTGGGTATTTAAAAAATCCTATTACTCGGTAACTCTGATAGAAAACTGGGTATTTAAAAAATCCTATTACTCGGTAACTCTGATAGAAAACTGGGTATTTAAAAAATCCTGTTACTCGACAAACTTATAAAGAACATAG